ATATATATATATATATATATATATATATATATATATATATATATATATATATATATATATATATATATATATATATGGGTCATCCATAAATGACGTCTTTTTTTTTGACGATTTTTACCTCCCCCCCCCTCCCCTCCGTCACACATCGTCACAAAAAGCCAGACCCCAAACATTAAAATGACGTCACACCTCAGCCTACAACCCCCCCCCCCCCCACCCCCCCCCCCCCCTCAAAATTGCACTTGAATTTTTCTTAAAACATCGATATTTTCCTAAAATATTGTCTAAACTCTGTCTATATAGAGTATTTTAATTAATTCCTACAAACTGTATGTCATTGTTTCGCTATGATGTGAAATAAATTGAAAGTACTCTGAAGAAATAAGAAAAAAAAACACAATGTTGGCCGACAAAATAAAACAATTTATCACTCTCAATACTTTTTTAAAAAAAAAAAGAGACACACAATGAACGCAACACAATCTTTTTGTAATCCTTGTAAAAAAAAACAATTTGACATAATGATTCCTAGAAAATGAAGACAAACGAACTAGGGAAAATAATCACTCTCTTAATATAAATACGTATATTTCTACAAATTTAGTTGTAAATGTCAAAACATATCACTAATTACTTTAGTATGTAGTAAAAAAAAAACTTTACTTTATTCGTTTTTACAAAAATATGTTGTCTACAATCAGAAGCCGAGAGCCGAGACATGGAGAATAACTGCTATATATAAGAAGAAAATACAATAATTAAAAACGCATGCCTCAGAAAGATCCTGCGAATTCGCTGGCCTAAAACCACCAGAAATGATGTTCTATGGCAACGGACCAAATCAACTGCCAGTTGAAGTAGAGATCCTCCAGAGAAAATGGAAATGGATTGGCCACACACTCAGGAAGCCTGTATCCAGCATAACAAGACAGGCCCTCACCTGGAATCCACATGGCAGGAGGAGGAGAGGCAGACCAAGAAAGACCATGAGACGAGACCTGGAAGAAGACACCAAGAAGATTTGATACACTTGGGGACAGTTGGAGAGACTAGCCAGGATAGAGACGTCTGGAAAGCTCTTGTCAGCGGCCTATGTCTCAGTAGGAACGACAGGCTAACCTAACCTAACCTAACCTAACCTAACCAAAAGAATATAAAACGTGACAGCTTTGTATGTGTAATTTTTTCTCGGGTTATTTTTTTTAAATAATAATTAAGAGAAGTAATTGCTTTTAAATTATTTTTTAGTACAAATATATCAAAGGAGCTTAGGAGCACCCCTATTTAACTATTTAAAAAAGGTAAATAAGTAATGGAAGTGTTTTGAACGTTTGCCTATCTTTCACACTACAGATTAGGCATATATTTTTTTACTCAACAGCATGTGTTAGCTACTGTATAAAATAGCTACTGTAGTAGATCTGTTTGTTATTTACAAAACTTTTTACCATCAAGTCAATATTTGTAAGAAAATTATTCTTTTAACTATAAAAAAATTATTATGGTCGGCTATGGGCCTTTAAATGGCGTGCCCCCCACCCTCCCCACCCCACATTGCGGGGTCTGGCGGCACTGTAGTTCCGCCCCTGGTCTTGGCCCTTCTCTCACACACACCACACATACAGAAAACAACAACAACAACACCAACAACAAGTAAAGTAGATAACAATCAGCGTATATAGACAGGCCCTCGTGTGTTTTATTATTTTGATGACACCGTAGGAGCTTCTACTAAATATTTGTAATCAGATTCTTAAAAATCAATTTTTTGTTTGTTTTTATGCCATTCTATATACGAGTTTTAATTTCGTATTTTAAAGTATTTTTAGAGACACGCGTGTGAACTGAATATTTTTAATAATATTACTTTACGAGAAAAATGGCCCGTTGAGGAAGGATACAACGGGCGCTAGGTTGATAGTGCTGTCTATTTTCTCTAAACCAAAACCAAAGCCACAACCTTTACCTCAAATTGAATCGGAAACGACAAATTTCTTTGAAAACGGATTTTTAGCAAGAATCGTCATTTTAATCGTCATTTAAGCTTGATCTACACTTAGTTACCGCGCATTGATACTAAATACAGTCGTAGCCACACCCCTAAGCCATGCACCTGATCTCAGTCATGACAAAACTAACTCGCATTGGGAGTTTCTTTCAGGCGACTCTACTTGAGGATTGGGGGCTCCGCCCCCCCCCTCCCCCCCCTCCCCCCCCCCCCCCCACCCCAAAGCACGTCTACCGTTCCATTCAACGAAATATAATTAAATAAATTTTCCAGTTTCCGCCCACTCCCAGAAAATTCAACCCCTGCCCCCGAAAATTTTCAAGTACCCCCCCCCCTCCCTCTCCAGGGATGAAAAAGTCTGAAAGAAACACTGGTCGCATTTGTAGATCATTCAAACTAACGGTAGAAACTGTGCGCGCATAACACTTTTTAGATTAGAAAATTTAAAGTTCCCCTCTCCTCGGAGGAAAAAGTCTGAAAGTAAAACTGGTGTCGCGCTTAGCCACTACCCGAAGAATTGCATGAAAGAAACTGCAAGCAAACCACCTTTTAGATTACACACATTAATTAGGCGGTAATTTTATTATAGAGTATCGATGAAGAAACTCTAAATGCAAAACACTTTTAAGTTTATACACATTAATTATGCCGTAATGTCAGTCTTTTTACTTTCTCGTATATACGAAGTATAGAGAAAGTATTGTAATCGTGCACAAAAATCACTTGAAATTTTAACAATTTTCACCGTATTACACCTCAGTCCTTTATCACATCCGAAGTATAGAAAACTTATTTTAATCGGGCAAAAATTATCAATCCAGATTTATCAAAATTAAGAGATTTTATGAGTAATTCAGTCTGAAAAACTGGGCTTTGCAATTCTGTCCGTATGTCTGTGTGTCTGTCTGTCTGTCCGTGTGTAAACACGATAACTTGAGTACCGTTACAGCTAGGTTGATGAAATTTCATATATAAGTATTTTATCAAAATCGTAGATCCGTATCAACTTTTGAGCGATTTCCGATAACCGGAAGTGGTACTTTTTCTACTTTGAATTTTTCAAAAGCCTATAACTTGAGTACTATTTCAGATAGATAAATGAAATTTCACACGTAAGTATAAGATCTAATTCTCTACCTTCTGTCAAATTTTGAGTAATAGAGTCCTTGCAAACACGTGACCTAAATCACGTGATACCTACGCCCACCGCCACAGTGGTGTACACCAGACGTAAACACAACCAGCTGTTCACCAGCGCTGGACGTGTTTACCAGCGCTGGACGTGTTCACCGTATGTAAAGAATCGCACCCGCGGAAAAGGAAAAATATGTTAAAAAACTTGAACTCTTAGGAATTGAAGATCCTTATACAGTTATTGACAGTTTCGTGGATAATATAAATATGTGGCCAAAATTTCTGTGGCGGCGGGCGTAGGTATCACGAACGGACGTGACGTCATATGAAAGGACTCTATTTCCGTTGCCCGGAAGTACTAATTTACGCTACTTCCGATTTCTCAAAAAACTAATGTAAATTTTTAAAGTACTAATAATATTGCGCACTATTATGCACTTTGTTATTTGGCGTTCACTTGGTGTGCAATCTTTTGTCTACGAGATTTTATTCTATTTTTAAAACTTTAAGTATTTAAAATGGATTAAAAATCATGTCTATAGCCCGAGTTCTCATCCCCTGTTGTTTTATATAAGAATATTCGAGAAAGTTTAGGGGAGATCACTCCCGGTTTATTTATTATAGAGTATCGGTGACGTCATATCTTTTGAGTTGGGGGTAGGGGGGGAAGGCGGCTTTGATGTTCTACCGGGGGGAGGGCTTCGCCCCTACCCGAAGAATTGTAAGAAACTCTTCACGCAAACCACTCCTACCTAAGATTAGACAAAATTGCCTTTTTATTTAATGTTTACTCGAGAATCAATGACGTCATATTACTGTGTGGATTCTCCGGCTTGATATTATTTTCTACTCTATGCTCAATAGGACGTCAGATTTCGTTTTCGTTTCACTGTGAAAGTTTTTAAATTGCTTGTGTTTTCTCTAGAGCGTTCTTGTCAGATAGATAGATACACAGATAGATACATAGATACACAGACAGCGAAACTATTATTATAGATATCAGCCATTACATATGACATAAGCTTTATCTTAATCATAACATTTGTACGTAGGTTGTGACTTTTGAGACGATGTGTAGTGAGAGGGGCGCGAGGAGGGGAGACAGAATTAAGGAAGTGTTGCATTTAAAGGGAAACTACTTAGATTCTCTAGTTCATATTTTTTTGAAAATGCAGCTTTGATCGGTTATATCCCCTTATTGAAATAAGACAAAAATGTATTTTTTTTCTAGACTGCAACCCAGAGTTTCTTCCAGGCATCTCTTCGGCATCCCCCCCCCCCCCCACCGAAGAAATTCAACCAACCCCCCCACCTGAACAAAATCGAATTTATATAGGAAATATACTTGTAACTGAGTCCGCCCTCCCCCCCCCCCCCCCCCCCCCTCCGGAGAAATTTTAGTCCGAAATTAGACAAAAATATTTTTTTTCTAGACTACAACCCTTTAACTAATCTCCAACCTAGTTAATGTTTCGGATACATTTATTTTTTCTTCAAATGGGCAATTTTTTATTTTATTTCAGACACCTATTTCGCCCTCCCAATCAGCCTTTATCAGATCTAAGTAGTTAAATAAATAGATGGCGGAGTAAGTGTTTGTCTTGCTTTGTGTAGTTTATCCGGGGTTTTACTTGCTATTAAATTGTCTATATTTATAGTCTTCGTGTTATCTACATTAAATTAGCTATCAATGATTTAAGAAAGCATGTATAACTATTCACTTAATATGTGATTAATGTATCTCTTTAATGGCCATATTAATTGTGTATTTAAAAAAAACACTTTATATCGTGTTTTATCTAATTTTGTTTCGTATTCAAAAAATTGTTATTATAAAACAATATTTAACAGACCAGAACAGCCTCCATACAACATCAGTCTGAATGTGACTGGACACATGGACTTTCATATAGAGTTGCCAGACGGGGTCTTCAATTCAAGTTCTCTTGTAGTTCTAGCCTCGATCTGGATAATCACAATTTTCTTACTGATATATATATATATATATATATATATATATATATATATATATATATATATATATATATATATATTGAAACGGATTGAATGTAATTAAATGAAGACAATTTGAAAAGAGGCTTATTATGTACATCCAAGGGATGAAGAAAGGGTCATGACCTAATTTACTACAACCCATAAGAAGATAGCTTCTTAGGATCATCCATTTATGACGTCCCCGATGAGGGGCGGGGAGTGCTCCAGAAAAAAATTGACTTTTGTGGACACATGTGGAATAACATTAGAGAGGGTTCAAAATTACATTTTTGTAGACGTCATGAATGGATAATCCCATAAGTTTGATGTTTTAGATGTATTCCTTTCCATTGTATTCATTCCCTTTTATTGAGCTGTTGTGCTATTCTGATGCATATTGTTATGGGAAAATACTTTATTATAGATCGCAAACTGACTTGTTTTGTTTTTTATATTTTTTGTTCTTTGATAGATATTGATACAGACTTTACACGAAATACTAAAACATAGCCATGACAGTCTTTCAAAATAAATATGTTTAACGTTCTGGTAGCAATTTTGTCTGCTCTAAAACTTGCACTATTTGTGTATTCATTGTATATATATATATATATATATATATATATATATATATATATATATATATATATATATATATATATATATATATATATATATATATATATATATATATTCATGGTATATTAATTGCTAATATTTGATTATCTTTGTTTATTAGCGCAATTTCCTTACAGGAATTGCGATTATTAACTCGTCATTTCCGTATGGATGTGCGCAGCTTTAGATCGTATCTCCTCCTCAACGAAGCAATATCGAGGACAAGTTCCAAAAGCAAATATGTTAAGCAAGTTCCGAGGATGATTGTGGGCCAAAAAAAATTCCCGGAATTCCTTCCTGGATTTCCCGGAAAAGCCAAAAGACCTTGAAAAAAAATGCCGTTTTTTTCCCATATCTCGGCTACCAGACCACTTAGCGACTTGAAACATTTACGAATCGATTCCTGCCATAATTTAGAACAATATTGCCGAAGAAAGTTTTCAAAAATATCCTTTCGTTCGGTCACAAAAAATTAATTAAGAACAATTAAGTTTATATTTATAGGATGATATTTACTACATGTTTACACTGAGCATCGGGATCGTTCGCGTCACTGCGCGCGGTAAGAAAGAGAGAGAGGCGAGTTGCGCGTCGCTCGTTTTTTCCACGTGCTAATGTTTACAAACAAGAGGGCGGGTTTTAATAATAGCGATTTAAAATTGTTATGGATAAATAATGGATAACATAAAGAAATTGCGCTTAAATTGTCACTAGACTTTTTATTAACTTGTTTTTTTTTAATACAATTTTTAAAAATATTTATGAAAAGTATATATTAATTTCAATTACTTGAACATTAAACTAATCAGTGATACTTTACAATTTCTGCACGGATAATTATTATAATTCTTATAATTTAATTTAACTTTTATAAATCTTTTAAATCACCTGTAATAAAACGTGTTGTTTATAAGATTTGTAAAGTTGCAACATGTATAACCTGTATTCATTTACATTAAAACTCTACATTAATATATGCATTATTTCTTAAGTTTTAAAACATAGCTTTACCCAGCGTATGCTCATAAAAATTAGTTGTGTTTTTAAGACGAAGATGAATTAATATCCACAATCTGTTATAAAAATTATTAAAGCTCCTCAAACCGAAGCAAGCTCCCGGCTCTGACAAAAATCACAAATGATATGCTCTCGCACCTAGGTCTCAAAGAAAAAAAGCAACCTGGAAGTCTGAAAAATCCCAAAATAGTTTTAAAAAGCACTCACGATACTTGTTTTTATGATAGGAAAACCCAGGAACAGGGTCGCTAGTTACCACCCAAAAAGTTTAACTGGCTGTAAACGGATAGAAATGGTGGTCAACAACATGCTAAACCTGGAGACTCGAGTCAACCTATCTACTAGAAGACGAACTTACAGATTATTAGTATAAAGGTTTTTCTATTTGTTTTATAGCGATCGCTCTATCAGCTGGCCTACAACGGTGAACTATTTTTCCATGGTTAAGAGATGTTTTTTTCCTAAGTGCAGACAGCAGGCTAAGAAAGGGGCAGGTAATTGTCTTTTAGAGATAGCAAGTTGCTACTGATCGACTTTCAAATCAAGTATTTGTAGTCGTGTTCATAGACACAAAGACACACACACAGGCACACACAGACATACAGATGCTGTCAATTAAACCTCAGAGGACCAAAAATAAAATATTTTTATCTTTAAAAAATATCTATATATATAATTCTCTTCTTCGAGCCGTTAGAAAACAAGCTGCAAACACTCTCCCTACCTCCCCACCCCTACATGGTTTTAGTGAGCTGTGTTCACTCTAAATGTTTACAAGCAGAGCCAACGATTTTAAACGTAGGGGGGGGGGAGGAGGGGGGAGGGAAGGAAGGGGGGGGGGATTTATGGTCCTTAACGAGCTACTTATAGTGTTTTAAAGAAATATTTTCAGTGTCAGCGTTGGTACTGTCGAATTCACAGATTATGAATTATTGAAAATTAGAAACAACTAAATAGCGGCGTATGATACACCGCGGGTCGGCTCGTATATCTATATTTATAATTCTCTTCTGGGAGCCGTTAGAAAACAAGCTGCAAGCGCGCCTTACAGTCCCCTCTCTTCCTCTCTATCGCTACCACCCCCCATCCCCTCACATGGTCTGGTGAACTGTGGTTCACGCTGTTTACATTTTACGGGTTTGGTGACGGCTATTAGGGGCAGATAATTTAGTTTGAAACGATTTTAAACTTAGAGGAGGTAACTAAGAGGAGGCTGCTTTCACGTGGGGGGGGGGGGGGGTTAGTGTTTTTAAGCAAATATTTTCAGTGGCAGCATTGGTACTGTCGAATTAACAAATTATAAATTACTGAAAAGTAGAAAAAAAAAAAACAACTAAATAGCGGCGTATGATACGCACCGGTCGGCTCGTATTATCTTATTATATTATTATTATTATCTATATCTTGGTAAATCCGGAAAAACCCGTAACGTTTAAAAATATTATTTCTCGCTCAGGGCGATTAGCTCCACTTCGTCGTCCTCATTATGTCGTGATATTAAGCAGACTTGCCATTGGTTGGAAGAGGTCAAAGTTGCCGTTGGTTGGAAGAGGTCAAAGGAAGAGGTCAAAGTTGCCGTTGGTTGGAAGAGGTCAAAGTTGCGCCTATAAATTTGATTAAAAAAGTGTGACGTCAACGCATCAGACGTCAGTATCCTTATTGAAGGTAGCAGACGTTTTCGCTTCATTTAAAAGATCTAGTCAATTTCTAACCCTGCAGTTATGGAATAATTTTAACATTTTAAATAGTGCTACTTTCAGTGTTTCTACTATTTATAGTTTTTAACTGCAGTCATTTTTCAACAAGAAATTTTGTTTTAAATTTGTTTGTTCAAATTGTATTACCTAATAGACAAATTAAATATATTCATCAAAACTTTAAGAGAATAAACTTTTTTTTCAGAAAATAACACTGAATATATTTGACAAGCCTATTTCAAGTAAGTTTTTTTTTCTTTTTTAAATATTAATTCCCTTTGTTTTCGTTTATCGTCATCGCAGTATCTGTCTCATATCATCTAAGAATTAAAATATTCAAGGCTGTAAAGTCTTTACTTAATATAAAGATTAATCATTGCATTAATTCATCTCATTCATTTGTTTAGGGTTTTATTTATTGTTTTAGTATAACAATTTTTTATATAACTCAAATGTATAGCAAGTCTTAAAGTAAGTATGCATATTAGTATTACTAAAATAGAGTTGTAACATTTAAGATTGCTGTATATTTGCCCATTAATAATTTCTTGACAGTTGTTAAATAACAATTTACACGAAGTATTTTAAAATACGTTTTTAAAATCACAATAAAGTATTTAAAAAACCCGAGTTAAAGTTCGTTATGTTTTTAATATCAATATGAAATCTGACAACAATTTTTTATTTGTAGTTGTGCGTAAAAAAATAGTCATCATGGTGAGATATGACTGGAACAAAGCCAACAGTGAAATACATTTTTAGATATAAATCTTACTGGTAGACATAACATAGAGTTTTATGTGTGTGTGGGGTGGTTGGGGAGGGGCGGGGGAGGGGGGTTTACTAAATGGGCTGATGTCTTTTCTTAAACATACACATACACATACATTTACACATATATACACACACACATACACACACCACACACAAACAATATCAACAACAATTAAAGTAGATAACAATCAGTGCAGCAAGAATGCCCTCGCAGGTTATTGTAATGTTGAGACCGCAGTAGCTTCTACTAAATATTTTTCATCAGATACTCAAAATGAACTATTTTGTTTGTTTTATGCAATTTTATATACGAGTTTTAAATTTAATTTCGTATTTAAGGGGTATTTTTAGAGACACGCTTGTGAACTGATTTTTTAAAAACTTTACTTTATATCAGCTATTACATATGACATAAGCTTTATCTTAATCATAACTTTTGTACGAAGGTTGTGACTTTTGAGACGATGTGTAGTGAGAGGGGCGGGAGGAGGGGAGACAGAATTAAGGAAGTGCTGCATTTAAAGGGAAACTACTTAGTTCATATTTTTTGAAAATGCAGCTTTGATCGGTTATATCCCCTTATAGAAATTAGACAAAAATAGTTATTTTTCTAGACCACAACCCTTTCTCTAATCTCCAACCTAGTTAATGTTCCGGATACATTTATTTTTTCTTCAAATTGGCAATTTGTTCTCTATTTCAGACGCCAATTTCGCCCTCCCTGTCAGCGTTTACCAGATCTAAATAATTGTACCAAGTTGTAAAACAGCTATATGGCGGTGTAAGTGTTTGTCTTGCTTTGTGTATTTTATCCCGGGTTTTCCTTGCTATTAAATTGTCTATACTTTTAGTCTTCATGTTATCTACATTAAATTAGCTATCAATGATTTACCAAGCATGTAAACTAATTACTAAATATGCGATTAATGTATCTATTTACTAATCATGTAGTTGCCATATTACATGTGTATTTTTAAAAATACTGACCGTTTAATATCTAATTTTTTAAAATACTGATCATGTAATATCTTATTTCGTTTCGTATTCAAAAAAATTAATGTTATAATAAAACAATATTTCACAGACCAGAACAGCCTCCATACAACATCAGTCTGAATGTGACTGGACACATGGACTTTCATATAGAGTTGCCAGACGGGACCTTCAGTTCAAGTTCTCTTGTAGTTCTAGCCTCGATCTGGATAATCACAATTTTGTTGTTGATGTACAACATCATGTAACTCAACATAAGATTATATATATAATATAATATAATATAACATTATATATATATATATATATATATATATATATATATATATATATATATATCAGCAAAATAAAACTGTCAGCACATTGAAACTGATTGAATGTAATTAAATGAAAAGAGGCTTATTATGTACATCCAAGGGATGAACAAAGAGTATGACCTAATTTACTACAACCCTTAAGATAGCTACATAGGGTCATCCACTTATGACGACTCATATGAGGGGGAGGTGTGCTAGAAAAAAATTGACTTTTGTGGACACATGTGGAATAACATTAGGGAGGGTTCAAAATTATATTTTTGTAGGCGTCATGAATGGATAATCCTATAAGTTTGATGTTTTAGATGTATTCCTTTCCAATTTATTCATTCCCTTTTATTGAGCCATTGTGCTACTCGAATGTATACTGTTACACATTATAAATCACCTGACTAAATTTTGTTTCTTATTTTTTGTTCTTTGATAGATAATGATATAGACTTTACTCGAAATACTAAAACATAACTATGATACTCTTCCATATTAAATATGTTTAACGTTCTGGTAGTAATTTTATCTAATCTAAAACTTGCACTATTTGTGTAATCATTGTATATTTATGTATTCATTGTATATTAATTGTTAATATTTTTATCTTTTTTATACAATTTTAAAAACTATTTATAAAAATTTTAACTTAACTTTCATAAATCTTTTAAATCACCTATAATAAAACTTGTTGTTTATAAGATTTGTAAATTTGCAACATGTATAACCTGACTTTATTTGCATTTAAACTCTTTATTAAGGTATGCAATCATTTCTTTTGTTTGAAGATACAGATTTTTACCCAGAGGCGTAGCGGGGGGTGGGGTGCGGATCGCACCGGGTGACACCATTTAGGGGGGGTGACACCAAGGCAAAAAATAGCAAAATATATAGAGAAAAATAAATATGAGGGGGGGGTGCAAATCAAAAGTTTGAGTGGTGGGGGGAGCAAATCGAAAGCTTGAGGGGGGGGGGGGTGCGAATCGAAAATTCGAAAGTTCGTCCCCGGGAAGGGTCGCTACGCCTCTGGCATTGACACCATTAAGTGCCGCACCGGGTGACACCCGACTTCGCTACGCCACTGCTTTACCCAGCTGATACACATAAAAATCAGTTGTGTTTTTTAGACGAAGATGAATCAACGTCCACAATCTATTAATAAAATTAAGAAATTATCATTCTTCATGACATTAAACGATCAGGGATAATTTAGTATATCTGCAGAGTTAATTATTCTAAATCAATTTTAGTTGTATACATTTTTTCAACTGTAATAAAACTTGTTGTTTATAAGATTTGTAAATTTGCAACATGTATAACCTGAATTTATTTGCATTAAAAATCTACATTAATATATGCATTAATTTATTTTCTTTTAAGATATAGCTTTACCCTGCTGCTGCTCATAAAAATCGGTTGTGTTTTAAAGACGAAGTTGAATTAATATCCACAATCTGTTAATAAAAGTATGTACTTGTAATTAAATGATGTAACTACATCTTAACAAATAAATGAAAATTTAATTACTATGCGATGATTATTGTTATGATGTATGTTTCAGATAGATATTAGCATGAGTGCAGGTTGGTGCGAAGAGTATAGTGATAAGTGAACACATTAGAATGATGACTCGATTGAAAGGTAGTGACGTATTTGTGTAGAGACTTGGTTGCTATGAGTTTGGGTGTGAGAGAGTCTAATCTTGATCGTCGGTGTGAAAGGACGTGTGCTGGCCGGTATGACTCAAGTTTGGAGATAGATATATGCAGATACAAGAATAAAGTGTTAGACAAAGAGTATTGAGTTTGGCTTATCTCTGAGCGTCATATATTAGTCGGAACTTGAGATGGCCTTATTGGTTCTTAAGGATTGAACCTCTCTACATGGTAGTGGAGATGAATTAAAATGGTATTTGACCAGCGTAACAATTATCACGTTTTAATTACATGAGTAATTTATGTAGTTTATTTCGATAGAACGAAAATCAACAGTCTTTTTTGTGTTTTAACTGTTGTTTGCTGAAATGTAACATATTAATAAATGGCAAGCTAGATAGTCAGATATGCCTAAAATACACAGTTACAAAGCCAAAACATATCTGCTAATCGTAAATAAGTTATTTGCGTATTAGTAAAAGTATTTTAAAAATTAATTTTCTAAATGAGTAGAAGACACCAAAAAACCTTGTAATGCTGAGTTTTCTGCATTAATCTATATTGACAAACTAGAGTCCTTAAGTATTTGAATGATTAAATGGAAAATTTCTCGTAGTCATCTCACCCGTAATGGAGACAAAACTACAGTTTATATTGGGAAAACCCTGAAAGTTAAAATTAAAATATTTTATTGTTTTTCTTTTCAAGAAAAGAAAGCTCTGAACATTTCGATATATATATATATATATATATATATATATATATATATAGTAGATTAGTATTGCTTTGTAGTAGTGTGTAGTGGGAAGCTTAAGGTATATCACGACCTATTAAAGCTCCCGTCACTATGTATCGCTTGTTTACCCGACATTTTAATATTTTAAATAGTGCTGTCTGCGGTATTTCTACAATTTATAAGTTTTAGCTGCACTCATTTTTCAGAGCAAAATTTTTGTTTTTACTTGTCTGTTTAAATTGTTTTACCTCGTAGACGATTTTAATATATTCATTAAAACTTTAACAAAATAAACTCTGTAATAAAATTAAAACTGAAAATATCTGCAAAACATTTATCGAGTAATTTGTCGGTTGTTGTTGTTTTAGATTAATTCCCTTTGATTTTTTGGTAAGCGTCACAGTATCTCTCTCATCGCATCTAATAATTTAAAATAATCTAAGTTTTCTGAATGCAATCGTTGTATTAATTTATCTCAATGTTTTGTTTTGGGCTTTCATTTACTTTTTTTATAACAATTTTTTTATAAAACTCAAATTAATCGCAAGCCTTAACGTAAGTATATAAATTAACTTTACTAAAATACAGTAGTCACATTAATTATTAAGTGTGGGGACTACGCTAAATATTTAATTTATTTTTATTTTTTATGCCTCTGTTGTTGTTTAGTTGTTGTTTTTTTTTTTTTTTTGTCTTTCTATTATGTGTACATTATTGAGCTTTACTAATACTATGTAGATTAAAAAATAGGTCTATTATATCATCTTTCAACGGTTATTTAATCTGCTCATTATAGTGGTATCGCTTAGTATATTATAAAAAAGGTCAATTATATTTTACACTGAGTATTTTAGAATACCTTTTTCGAATTACCTTAAAGTATTTAATAAAACTAATTAAAATTTGTCATTTTATTGATCTCAAAAGGTCATCATGATGAGATATAACTGGAACAAAGTCAACAGTGAAATATAGTTTTAGATCTAAGTCTTACTGGAAGACATAGCATAGAGTTTTATGTGGGGGGGGGGGGGCAACTAAATGGGCTGTATTCGCTGATGTCTCGGTGCTTCTCTCAAACACACACAAACACAAACACACACACACATACACACACACACACCACACACAACCTCAACAACAAATAAAGTAGATAGCAATCAGAGTAGCAAGACAGTCCCTCGCGTGTAATCTCCTTGGTTTTTTTTACTGATGGTACCGTAGTAGCTGCTACTAAAAACTTTTAAATCAGATACTGAAAAGTTAACATATTTTTGTTTTCATGCACATTTTTTGTGTACTGCCCTAGCCACCAGATTAAATTCGTATTAGACACACTAGCAAACTGAAGCAGAGGCGTAGCGAGGGGAGGGGGGGAAGGGGGAACATATTTCCCCGGGCGCCGACCTCAGGGGGGGGGGCGCCAAAATGGGTTGGATAAACAAATTGAAAATTTGAGAGGGGGGGGGGTGCAAAATCTAAAGTTCGAGGGGAGGTGCAAATCGAAAGTTTGAGGGGGGGGGGGGGGGGGGGCAAATCAAAAGTTCGAGGGGGCTGCAAATCGAAAGTTTGTCCCCGGGCGCCGGGAAGGGTCGCTACACCTCTGTTCAAATAAAATCAGTTTATTTTTTACTTTCTAAGTGCATACATAAAAATGTGTAGATATAAATTGTTTTTATTTTAATTGTATTTTAATGCTTGATATTTAATGTAGTTCCATAGCTAAAAACTTGAATTGTGTGTACAATAGCGCTGAAAATTAGTACCAAAATCAATCTTAAGATGATTTGTTTTAAAATAAAATCAACATCGAATTCAGGCCAATTCTATATCACACTGCATTGTCACCTGGTCATGACTGACGTGTCGAGTTTGAAATAAATCCGTCCAATAGACGTGGCACAAATTTTGCTCGCCAATTTCGACACTTGACAAACGAGGCACGAGAAAAGAAAGTAATCCAGTTAAATAATATCGAGAAATAGAAAGACAAAACAGCAACCGAGGAATCAAATAAAAGCTTGGAAAAGTATATTAAATATATTGGCGTGGGTAGTCCCATAATAACAGTTCATATAGGGAAACCCCAATCAAATAAAATATGCTGTTCTTTATTTCTATAAAAGAGAGTTCTTGTAGCTGAGACCATAATTTGAGAAATGAGCAGCTTCAAAATGTTTGTAAAAATATATATAGGCCCCTACATTGACCATTGTCCGTCCAAAATTTTAAGTGTGCACCCCCCCCCCCCCTCCCTCCTCGTCCCCGGAATTGGAAGTGTTTCAAAGGGTCATCCATAAATGACGTCACGCTTTTTTTGGCGATTTTTACCTCCCCCCCCCTCCCCTCCGCCACACGTCGTCACAAAAAGCCAGACCCCCCCCTAAAATGACGTCACACCTCAACCTACAACCCCCCTCAAAATTGCAGTTGAATTTTTTTTAAACATCGATATTTTTCTAAAATCTTGTCTAAACTATTACAATTTATTAAAACAGTTATCTAAAATGCGAAATAACTTCTAAAATTCGTTTTCTAACATTGCTTTTTTTCTTTCTCGTATATACGAAGTATAGAGAAAGTATTGTAATCGTGCACAAAAATCACTTGAAATTTTAACAATTTTCACCGTATTACACCTCAGTCCTTCATCACATCTGAAGTATAGAGGACTTATTTTAATCGGGCAAAAATTATCAATCCAGATTTATTAAAATAAAGAGGTTTTATGCGTAATCCAGTCTGAAAAACTGGGCTTTGCAATTCTGTCCATATGTCTGTGTGTCTGTCTGTCTGTGTGTGTGTGTGTCCGTGTGTAAACACGATAACTTGAGTACCGTTACAGCTAGGTTGATGAAATTTCATATATGAGTATTTTATCAAAATCGTAGATCCGTATCAACTTTTGAGCGATTTCCGATAACCGGAAGTGGTACTTTTTCTACTTTGAATTTTTTAAAAGCCTATAACTTGAGTACTATTTCAGATAGATAAATGAAATTTCACATGTAAGTAAAAGATCTAATTCTCTACCTTCTGTTAAATTTTGAGTAATTTCCGTTGACCGGAAGTAGTAATATACGCTACTTCCGATTTCTCAAAAAACTAATGTAAATTTTTAAAGTACTAATAATATTGCGCACTATTATGCACTTTTTTATTTGGCGTTCACTTGGTGTGCAATTCTTTTGTCTACGAGATTTTATTCTATTTTTAAAACTTTAAGTATTTAAAATGGATTAAAAATCATAACTATAGCCCGAGTTCCAATACCCTGTTGTTTTATATAAGAATATTCGAGAAAGTTTAGGGGAGATCACTCCCGGTTTACTTTATAATGCAAAAATGTGATGTCGCAACATCTGAACCCCCCCCCCCCTCCCCCTCATCACACATCGTCACAAAATTACGGACCCCCCCCCCCCCTCCCCCCTACGAGTGTGCCGTCATTTATGGATGACCCCCAAATACCAATTTTCTCAATGAAATTACATCATTTGGTACACATTTAAATACAATTTAATTTTCCAATTTTGGTTTGTACTATATAGAGAAGCACATCTGATGGTGACATATAGACTTTGGAAGCCTTAGAACTTGAAGCTCATTGCAAAGATCACCAGCATCAATATCTTTATTAGAGTTATACATCAACGTTTTCTAAATGTTTGCAGCAGGTGTCTTTTTGTTGATATTGGATATATCATAAAGGAAGCCAAAAAGAATAGTATGTTGTTCCAATTGTTGGAACAGCTCTTCAATAGACTGTATACTGTATATAGTAAGGTATAATTCTACTTTGAAATAAAATTCTGCTTAGGATAATGTGGTGCCAACAAATAATGTTGTTTGAAAATTTAAATCTCTCCATGGCTAACGAGTTTTCTAATTCCAAGTTAGATAAAACGAGACTAACAATTAGCTCTAATAAAAATTAAAAGTTGCATTTGTCTTAGAGCGCCACATTATGCGGGGGAACGATCACTAAATGATCAACATTAAAATTAGAAAAACCATCTGAAATATTGCTGAATTAAAATATTAGATTAAATTTCAATACTATTATTTCATTTTATTACCAGAGGCGGAGCTAGAGGAGAGCGAGCAGAGTTTCTTCCAGGCATCTCTTCGGGGGGGGCAAAGCCCCCCCCCCCCCCCCCCCCGAAAATTTTTTTACCGCCCCCCGAACGAAATGAAATTTATATAGAAAATATATACTTTTAACAATGTCGGCCCCCCCTCCCCCCCGAAGAAAGTCTACCGCCCCCCCCCCCCCCCCCCCCCGAAATTTTCAAGTGCTCCCCCCCCCCCCCCCACGGGGAAAAAAGTCTGGAAGAAACACTGAGAGCGAGTGGGGCGGCTGCCCCGGAGGCCGACCCAGAGGGGGCACCAAAAGTAGTGGATAATAATTTTAAAAGTCCATTACTGAATTATATGTAGAATTTAGACTGCTGCTTGGCATTACAGACTTATTTAATTATTCTCTACGTTAACTGTGTGACACCAAAATAAAAAGGCAAAGTGATTGGTAAAAAGCGCCCTGATCTTTCCAAATGAGGGGGGCTTTTTTTCACCAACGCGAATAACTAGATCTATATAGGATAGGCCTAATTTGAGATCACTAAAAGATTTCTTAGTTGCCATGTATATGGATACGAGTGCACAAAGCGGTAATGAACGTCAAAGACCTTGAAACAGCCCTGTCCCCCCCCCCCTTCCCCCCAAACCTGTAGTAAAAAGTAAAAAATCTGCTAGAAACCCCGGTGGGTCGATATTGCGTAGATTCTAGAAACGTTTAAATTTAAATCTAACTAGATCTAGATTCTAGACTAGATTTAATTCTTTTCTTTAGCCTTTAGGCATACAGTTATTCCAGAAGTGATGCATTATTTAAAATCATGTAG